CCAATGAGTGGCGTCCATCTGTGTTGTTTGAATAGGTTGACCGCAGATGCAATGTGATAATGAAAGTCATCTACCTCGGTGAAGGGACCGTGGATATTGACAAATAAGAGGTGGAGAGAAGGAATGGTGACAAAGGTAGCTCTAGAAGAAGAAAACTGCGGTTGCAGCTCTGCATCTCCAAGCGAAGAATGGATGAGTATGACTGTGTCAAACTGGTGTGTGGAAGTATGACTAAGTGTATCTGGCAGAGGGGTAGTAAAGCAAGTAAAATCATGAAATGAGCCATGGAGGTGCAATGCTGGTGCTGTAGAGCCTTTGAACTCTTGCATAAATACCACGTTAGCATGTAGATCTGATGCTAACTGCTGCAGGGTAAGAAGTTTTTGCTGGTTACTTAGTGCGCCTTGCATATTTGCTGAAATAATACAGAGCGATGGTTGTGGGAGTGGATGTGAGGTAGGAGGTGGTGAAACAGAGATATCTGCCCATGGTGAGGCTGCTGAATCTGGAGTGAGAATTGAGGGGTGTGACAGGTCAGGTGTTGTAGACTCTTCATCACTGTCATCATATGCATCTGGCAGTAAGGATGAAGAGAATGGAGATATGGCAGTAGTAGGGAGTGCAAGGGCTGTGGAGTTGGGTGCTGGCAGTATGCTGGCTGCTTCAGCATATCGAGGTGTCTGAGGTGGTATCCGTTTCCTTTTGGCTGATATAGTGATTAGATCATTTTGGTTGGATAATTCCTCCCAATCTGACATTTTGCAATCAAATTCTGCGATTATTGGGTATGAAGCAGGTACTGTGTATGCTCTACTGAGCACCAGCCATGGCCACATCCTCTGTCACATCTGGTGACTTCTGGGTGGCTCTCTGCTTAGTCCTTTGGTGAGTTCGTTTGGCAACAGGCATATCACTGCTTGAGTCAGACATCGAGTCATCAATAATTTGCATGCCTTCAGGCAGGGGCTCAGTAGGGGGGTTGAAGCAGGGCTCATCCTCATCAAGTTCATTCTGTGCATACTCTGGTTGTGCATCTGGCTCGTCATCTGTCCCATAGAGTTGTTGCTGGAAGGAAGACATCTCGCTGGGGGGAGCAGTAGCCCCAAGTTCTGGGCTAGTAGAGAAGTCCATAGCAGTATAGTGGACTTCAGCTGGCAGTGACTCTAGCATGTCAACATCCATAAGTGGGTGGATAGGCAGTGAGGAGTTGAGCACAGCAGGTTGCTGTGTACCTGTAGCAGCAAGGATTGCAGGGGAGAAGTGTCCTGAACTACGAGTTTGCAGGTGTGCGGCTTGTGCAGCTGGTGCATGTATGGCCGGAGTCTGAGCAGCTTGCATATCAGCAGCTGGAGTATGAGCAGCTTGATCAGCGGCTTGCATATTGGCTGTTGGTGCGATGGCGGCTGGGGCAGTATTGGCTGGAGCAGTAATGTCACATGATATAGGGCTGCCTGCTGCAAGGTCATGTGGCATCGTATGATTGGTGGGTATACTTAGCGCATTGATCTCCATGTCGATATCGTCCTCTGTCTCGCTCAGTTTGTCGTCGATACTGCATCATAGCTGGTGGCAGATCACTCCTTCGCAGTGGCATTTGCTTGGGTCAATGGCTGAACACCGTTGGCATGCCATGGCCACCAATTCTCCTTGTAGGAGGGAAATTGGCTTAGGGTGCCTGTTCAGCTTAAAGCTGTTTGGCAGCGTTTTGCCAGCAGGGACATGCAGCAGCATCTCCCAGCTTCCCAAGTGGCGGTGCTTAATGTAGACCGGCTCTAGGTGCGTGACTGTCCCATAGGGACGAAGGGCTGCACGCAGTTTGTATGGCATAGTTGCTGGTACATGCGTGATAGCAACATGGTGGACTACACCCATAGATGAGGTCCACTGCAGTTTTTCCTTGCCGAGATGGAAGGGGGATCTGGTGATCTTGACGGCATCATCCAATCTGATCAGCGTGACGCCAATCTCGTCATCGAGGGCGGTGAAGGAAAAGATTGGGTAGTCCTTGTGGGTTGGGGGCACCCGCGGACGATCCAGAGCCGTGAAGATCTGGCTCTCAACCAGAGAAACTCGGTCTGGATTAGTGCACCCAATGGGCACATAGATGGTTGCTGAATGGACCAGAGGGGCATATTCTGCCAGTTCTCTCTCCATTGCAGCAGAGGGGCGGCGGACAGCTGGCTGGCTCGGGCCAGAGTTGCTGTTGCGGCCATGGGGACGTTGGGCGGGGCGGCTGCCGGCTGCCTCAGCATATGACTGAGGGGGGCGTGGGCCATCTGGCTCACTAAACAGTATGCGCGGGTTGCGCGGGTTGCTAGGCTGGTCATTCGAGCTGCGAGTTGACTTGCGAGCTGACTCGCTAGCCTGAGCCGAGGGGCGCTGGTGCCCTGAGTCATGGGCCACCGTAATGAAGCCGTCATCTGACGAGCCAGACTCATGGTCTGGCCCAAGCAGTTCGCGGTTCATTGGCTGCGCATGCGGTTCGGCTGCATTTTCTGCTGCAGCTGAAATATTCAGGGCAGCAGGGGCGTTGGGTGGGTTGGTTGTTGCTGTCATTCTTGCAAATTTTTCCAAGTTGGTGCAAATTTCGGGAATGTTGCGAATTGGCAAAATGCTTGCGGGTAAGGTTGTTGTTGTCGGTGGATATGTGCGCTGTGGGCGGGATTGGTGCTGTCTGGTGCTGTCTGGTGCTAATCCTAGGTTGTTCTGTAGCGACGGGATGCACAGGGCGGCGATGGATGCGGCGGAAGTGCTGGGCGTGCGAGGCGACAGAGTGGCAAAATTGATTTTGCAACGGACAGTGGAAGAGAGATGCCCGGCTAGCTCAATCGGTAGAGCGTGAGACTCTTAATCTCAAGGTTGGGGGTTCGATCCCCCCGTCGGGCTCTCTTTTGAAGTTTTCCAGATTACGATTTTTTTTATGTAACCACGTTCCATCTGACTGTGCAAGTATTATGCGTGAGAACATATACTCTAGGTATATCTAATACCTTAGATTGTACTTTTGTATCTCTATTACTGTTGCTATTCATAACTATCTCATTAGATAACTATGTGTAATATTATACAGTAGTAAGCTATACAGATATAATACAATCTTATTCCTAGCTTCAAAATCTCTGTATATCAGTATGTGAAAATAATACTCCTACTACATATCTTTCTTTTGCTTAAATAATCAAGGGTACTCCAGCCTATTTATATAGTACTTTTTAATCTAATACTGTATATATAGGAGGGCATCTAAAGATAAAAATAGTTCTAGAGAGGTATAATTGATTAGTACTATAGATAATTTTTGCTTGTATACTATTTATTAAATAGGTTAAATGAGTTTTGTGACCAGAATGGGGGTTATTCATATATTCTAAGCTAGCCTATTATTAAACTTACCTCTAGTAGCTTTTTACTGCTTCATCAATTAGTAGATTTTTCCAAAACCCCTATAGGCATATGAAAAATTTTAGAAAATAGAGAGATAAGCTATAAATTATATTTTATTAATTGTTGTGTTACTGTAACCACTACCTAAAAATATTTTTGTTGTGTAAAATATAATATAACTTATAGTTTATCTATCTATTCTCCAAAATTTTTCATATGCCTATAGGGGTTTCAGAGAAATCTACTAATTGGTTTTTATTTTGTTTTTTCTTCTAACAATTAGTGAACATTCTAGTCAATAAAAACTACTAATTGCTAAAGTAATAAGAAACAATAAGACTTAAATTTAATAGTAGGCTAGTATGTAATATATAAATAACCTCTATTCTATTACCACCATACTTCATACTTGTAAGATATATAAAGAGCTTGGGTAAATTATAGTTTAGAATAACCTCTATTATAACTATTAATATTTCTACCTTTTCTGAAACAAAATTATAGAGAAT